GTTTTCTGAGCATAACTTCTCAAATTGGGGCTGAAGTTTTGAAATCATTACTCTCATTTCTTTTTCTAAATTTATTTGTGATCTGTATTTTGATTACTGCAACTGTAGAAAAGCCAGTTTCACACAAGTATGATGTAGTAAATGGTAAAAGAACCTTCAAAGTTGTAGTACTGATAGTAGGATATTCTTGGGCTACATTGCTCCAAAAGTGAAATAGTTTGTCTTTATCGAATCATAGTTTTAGGCTCGTATCACAAAATAGTTCTAACAGCTGTTCTTCCTTGACTGTTGAAAGTGTAGATGGGGATGGGGTCGATTGGAATGGGTCTCTAATTCAGTTGTATTGATCTAGATTCTTTGGAAAATATGTATCAAAATGGGTGCTTAGTGTTGATAAGTGTTGGATAAATGTGATTGCAAACTTGGCTCCAAATTTTGAAAAGATTTTTCTTGCAGAAAGCCATTTAAAACAGGAAAGCAGTCAGTACTTCTTTGCTCTTCTTTTATCTTTCTTTTTCACAACAGCAACTTCTTTTTATATGCTGCAATTTTATCAGCCAGTTGCAGTATATGCATTTTGTTTCCCTGCAGCGATTTATTAAGGACATTTAATTTCTCAAATATGAAATAAAGATATGCCAGTTTTATTAAGAAGTCATTATCTTTAAACTTTTCTACATTACAATGCGATTCTACCAATAAATATGTGTACAACTGATTTTTTAATTTGTATATATGTGAGAGTATGTTACCTCTTGACAACCAAGGAGCGTTACAGTAATAAAGATGTATGCTCGACACCCAAAACCTCACAAAAAGCTTTTGGAAAAATCTTGCCTTCACGGGTCTTGATTTTATAAAGTTTACTACTTTAATAATTATATCAATCACAAGATTTAATTCAGGTAAAATATTTTTTGTAGCCAGGGCCTCCCTATGAATGATGCAATGTGTCCATTTTGCATTTGGTGCCTTTGTTTTAATGAGAGCTTGAAGTCCTCCATACTGCCCTGACATTGCACGAACTCCATCCATACACACATTGACACAGTTCTCCCATTGAATGTTTTCTTCTTCCATGTATGAATCATCTATGATCACAAACAAATCACTAGCCTTCCTGGTATCAGTCATTTCTTTGCAAAATAACAAATCCTCACATACATTTGTCTTCTTCCATGTACCACATGTAACATATTAATTGAGTGTCATTATTACTGTCTGTCGCTTCATCCAGTTGAATGGCAAATAAACCAGAAAGTTTTTCCACAATTTGCTCATTAATGTCTTCAGCTATGTCATGAATGCGACTACTAATTGTATTGTTAGAAAGAGGAATATATTTTATTTCTTTAGCCACCGATTCTCCAATCATCACTGATACCATATCAATTGCTGCAGATAAAATAAGATCTTCAGCAATCGTGTGTGGTTTCTTGCATTTGGCAATACGTACGATGAGTGACCTTGTAAGAGGCAAGCAGTGCTTTGGAGGGAATAGATGCTCTGGAAAACGAGGATGTCGACTGATGTTTTAGTTCTCGCAATTTTCTTGCAAAAACATCTCATGGTTTTCCTTGTAAATTACTGAGAGTTGTTTCTAAATGACATTTCAATTTATTAGGAAGCATACTTTCAGCTGCCAGCACCTTATGACAAACAAACAATGCATTGGGGTAGTTCCATATTTCCTTTGCTAACGTAGGCAAATCCAAAATCTAAATATTGGTCATCATATTTTCTGTACTTTTTTTGTTCTTCTACAGTTTCCTTTGTACTCTTTCCCGAGTCTTCAACACATTTTCTATTTATTTGAATAAAGTTATCCATTTTAAAATGTGTAAATTAAATACAACATACTTGAAATCAAAATACTGATTCATCAATGCTTGTAATCGAAGAAAACAAAAGACTGAATGAACGAGTGGGAAAAAGGAGCGGGGTGATGAGACGCATGCACCGCTCACTCCCTCATTACATCACGTGCAGGTGACCTGTGGGTATTGTCTCACGACTCCTCTATGATAGTGCCATGACGCCCTGTGGTATCATGGTGCACAGTTTGGGAAGCCCTGATTTAACTGATACTAATATATATATCTTGAAAAAATAAGACAAACCTATAATTTTTTTTTTATTAATGAGTATCGAAAATTATATTCAACCACATTATTTTATATACAGTGGTGCCTCATATAACATACGCCTCGAATAACAGACGCTGCGAACAATGGACTTTCTGTTTGGCCGTTAGTGATTTGAGCAATGGACTTTCTGCGAACAAGTGCGAATGATGTTTCCACTCTTTTGCTGTTGCCAATGACAATCTGCTATTTTTATAATATATTAATATTATTAGAATATATTATTAATATATCTGAAGTACAGAGCTCCCATTGGGATTTGGCTTGCTCCCTTGTTTATTATGTACAGTACAGCACCTCAATGCAGGGTATTTACATTTATTCAAATGTTTTGCAAATCATGGCTTCTAAAACAACAGGAAGGTGATTTCAATTGAAACAAAGCAAGAAATCATTAGAAGGACTGAAAGTTGACAAAAACTTCCTTGTTAAATGGGGAGAGGTTAAGGAGTTTACCAACACTCATTATCCAAACAGAGCTGAGGCCAACAGGATCAATGATCTCTGCAATGACACCCTTGCCTGTCATTTCCAACAGGTGTTGAAAAAGAGAGCGAAACAGACCACCTTGGACATGTTTTTCAAGAAGCCAGCTGCCAAAAAACAAAGGATGGAACAAGAGGAGTTGACCACTTTGGACATGTTTTTCAAGAAGCAAGCTGCCAAAAAACAAAGGATGGAACAAGAGGAGTTGACCCTCCGGTAGCCTCTCCTAAATCTGACTCTGATTAAAAAACAATAAAAAGAGATCTGCTGCAATGTGTAAAAAGTCTGTATATGTGTGAAAAAAGTTTTCCTCCACCTCCTCACAACATCTGACTACCTGGCATAATTGGTGACTGCTCCATTTTCATTTTTTTATGGTATGGTTATTTTATGCTGTGAAACGAATTATATATTTTAACATGTATTTCTATGGGAAAATGCATTTCGAGACTTTTCACTATAACGGACTTTTCACTTAACGGACATGCACCTGGAATGGATTAAGTACGTTTTACGAGGCACCACTGTATTTTGAATTTTGTAAATGATATTAAGAATGAAATGTATAAGATTTATTAAATATTTGGTTGGAAAGTGAATAAGAATACAACGGGTGTTCAAAAAGTATTGGACTTTTATTTTTCCTGCATAAACCAATGATGCACAGGTCTCTTTCAATGGAGTTGTGGAGGGGACAGTCATGCACAGTCCTGAATTTTTTCCCGCCTGCAGGAAGTGTCAGTCGCTGGCAGTCGGCTTATGAGTGAGGACGTGTAGTGAGTGCTTGTCGGATTCCACTAAGTTGGAAAATGACTGAACAACGTGAGCAGTGATATTGAATCAAATTTTGCCAAAAGCTTGGCGATACCCAAGTGGAAACCATTCGCAAGATTCACAGGCTTTCGGGGATGATCCTCGAGGCAAAAAAAAAAGCGCATCAAGTCTGCAGCAAAGTCAAGGTCATGTTGACAGTTTTTTTCGACTCTCGTGGGGTGGTATATATATTGCGATGGTTTGGCCTTGTGGTGCGTACTCATGATAAAGGTGTATCATGAGTACGCACCACAAGGCCAAACCATCGCAAAGGAGTACTACCATGAGGTCCTTCGTCATCTTTGTGATGCTGTGCGAAGCAAACGACTGGATCTGTGGTCAACCAAAACTTGGTTGACCACAGATACGCTCCATCATAATAATGCACCCGCCCATTCTGCGCATCTGATTCAGACTTTTGTCGCCAAACACAACATTCCTGTGGTTCGTCACGCTCCGTACTCTCCCAACATGGCTCCGTGTGACTTTTGGCTATTTCCAAGCTGAAAATGCCGCTAAAAGGAACCTGATTTTAGTCAAGAGAAAACATCATATGGAATGTGACGGATCGGCTGATGGCCATTCCAAAAGATGCATTCCATCAGTGTTTCCAACAATGGCAGGAGCGCTGGGAGAAGTGTATACATTACCAAGGAGACTACTTTGAAGAGGATTAGAGTTTTGTACCTCAAAATAAATGTATTTTTGCCGACCAAAGGTCTTTACTTTTTGAACACCCCTCATATAAGTAAAATAAACTGGAAGAATTCTATGATTATGATTATTAAAGAAATGAAAACTTGTTTCAAGTATAGTACATATAGTAAATCAATAATGTAATGAATAAAGAGTTTGATCTAACTTTCAAATACAAATGAAAATTTTGCATTTGATTAAACATTTAAAAATGAAAGTGAAATAATATACTGTATATTTTGATTACTAGATTATATATAGAATTTCCTTTTAAATTTGTTTTATATTTCTATTCTTTACATTAATTATATTATGTATTTTAAATCCTGTGTAGATAGACCAAATATTCAAAAATAATTATTATAAAATAAGATAAACACTGCACAAATAACCTATATCCAGCAAAAAGAAATTACAAGAAAGCAAACATTTTCAACTGTGTTTAACAGGCATCATTAGGTTGTTGATGCCCCTGGGTGAAAACATTTGTTTTCTTGTAATTTCTGTTTGCTAGATATATAGGTTACTTGTGCAGTGTTTATTAACATATTCCCAGTTTTCAATAGTTGAATAAAACAAAATATTTGCAAATAAATCAAAACTGGAAACAAAATTATAGATAAAATTTTCACAATGATATTTTGACTTTTTAATTGTTAGTCTTTCAATTATAGTAGGTAAGTTATAAACATAGTTAATCTATTGCTATGTTTATATTTACATTTACTTACTTGTCTTACTTTAATTGTATCTATTAATTTATTTTATATTATTATCATTCATTCTTTACCTATTTTTATATTTTATAGTTTGAAATTTAAGTATATTATTATGACTTATGATATTGAATTTTTTTTTTAGGAATAAAGCAGAATCTGTTGATATAACTATTGCAGATTTTGATGGTGTTTTGTTTCATATATGCAATATTAATGGTGACAAGACAAAAGTTAGGGTAAGTGAAATTTACAAGAATATTTCTTAATTTTCAATGTACAACATTTCTCTCGAATATAGATTTTTAACATTACATCAATGAAAATTTTATGGTGTTTTTATTATCTTCATCTACTTTTTAGTGATTTGTCACATAAGTTGCATTTGATTGGAGCGTTACTGTATCCCAGAGTGCATTAATGAGCATCAGAATCCAGAAAGTGCACCTCTAAACATCAGGATACTCAGTTCTTTTAAGATGGTGTCATCCTGAACATGCACAAGTTTTAGGGTGCACTAATGTTCAAATCTAAACATAATAAATCTTCAGTAATTTCATTCTTTTTAATAAAAAATCTCTTAGTCAGTTATGTGAAACTATTATAAACTAATGACATTCTAATCAGAGATAATTTTCTTTGAACAAAATGAAATTTATTCTTTTGAAATATTCGAATTTTGTCATGTTTTTCATTGATTGTAAAGCACTGTTATTAATTGAAATACAAAAAATATTCTATCAGAAGACAAATTTTTCAATAAGACTCTTACTCCAGCAATGGCTTTAATTTCTGTGTGTAAATGTTTTGGGTATCTTAGGCAAAAACAGTTATCGAATACTCTTGATCACATAAATATAAACAGACCATACATTTTATATGTTTAAATTCCAATGCCTTACCCGAAGATAGGCATTTAAGATGCCTGAAAATATTCATAAAAATTAGTGTTATTGCTGGAGTAATAAGACTTCTTAGTGCATTAGTGTACAAAATTCAGTTGACAATGATGTATAGACAAACTATGTCTGTGCTTCTCTAAAATACTAATGTGTTATTCTGAAGATCTCTAGTTATATAAAAGTATAAAAAATTTGTAAACTTAAGCTGTATCAGTTTCATTAATTATTAATCTCAATACTCAATAATTAGATTTTTATTTAATAAAGAACATTTTTTCAGTTTATTTGTGTATGTGTGTACACATTAGTATCTTATTTTACACAGGATTGTCATATGTAAATTCATATTTTTGTAAATGTTGGGTTAATCCATTCTTAATACCACTGAATGTGACTCTTAATTAAGCAAACCATGCTTCTCCAGTTTCTGCATTCCTAACTTAGAGAACTACTGAATGTTGTGATGACTATCCTGATTTGCATGTTGCAAGAACTTTGAAATGGAAATATATACGGAAACTAAGATGGATCTTCCACATGCAAAACATTAAACCAAGCGAATATGGAAACTCCCATGTGACAGCATGGGAGTTTCCATATTCACTGTGCAATTCAAATTTGCCTGTGTATTTTCTTAAATAGTAGTGCTCAATAATATAATAAAAGCTTTCTTTTGTGTATTTAGGAACATTCAGACTAAAATAATATTCATTGTTTGTAAAAATGTTTTGAATTCATTTTAACATTTTCTATTAATTCTAATTGGTTGCATAAGTATTTAGACAATCATTGGGAATATTTGATGGAGCACAAATTTAAGCCAGATTTTGTTTTATGTAGCAATGCTAACATACAATGTCCACATAAAACAAGATCATACTGTATACTTGTTTTTATCATCATAGGATTTTTTGTTTCTTTCTATATTTTATATTTTTCTCCTATTTACCTTAAAGGAATTATTTTAATAATGTGAATAAATTTTTATTTATGTTATATGAAATGCTATCTTATGGAGAGTTTTGTATGAGTTTAGTGATGTAAAGAATTGCTAACAAGGAGATGTTGTGAGCTTAACATTCTTTTTCCCTTTTTTTCTCATTATACATGTATTTTGTTTTGTGCTGCATAAGAAACATCTTAAAATGGTCATAACCATGCCTTCTTCATACTACTACATGTTTATATATTTTTTAAATAAAATTTTAACTAATATAACTAAATTTTAACTAAATAAATTAAAATAAAATTTAAAATTAAATTTTATTTTTAAAATTTATATGCTGTTGTTTAATACTTAATTGAGTTTTATATTTATGGTGATTGGGAATGATTGAGAAAAGTTTTATGAAAATGTAAAAGAAGAAAGCATTAGACTTCCAGATAAGAACTAAGGTTGACTGGAGTAATTGTAAATTTTTTCCCTCTGTCCCCATAATACAGACAATTTTAAAATCTGATGCACACTCTTTCATAAACAAAGCACTCCTTTTACTTTAAAGTCTTCATTGTGGTCTCATGTTTGTATTTAAAATTTTATTTTGTTTACCAAAAAGAGATGTCCGTTTTTGTTTTAGGATTAACTGATATCATCCACAAATGATCATTAATAAGATTTTTTGCTACATTTTTGTATCAATTAGTAAAACAATACACTAATGTAGAATTTTTATCTCCCTATTCTGATTGTGTACCATAGACACTGCAAAATTTATCATTTATTATTATCCCATACCAAAATCAGAATAAAGAACAATTGCAAGTGATACTTTTAAATACAAATATGACAATACTTGACAGCTACAGTTAAGAATAGGTCTATTTAACTATGAGCACCTGATACAGACTTTTATTTTAGAATATCTCAAACACACATAAAGACAGAATCTATTATAAATTTAATATTTTTGTGACCTTTCGGGGTTGGCACCTCTTTAGTGCCCTGTCAGGATTGACACCACCGTGTTTATCTGAACACAGAAGCCGAGATGGCAATTACCGCATCACACCGTCGCGCGAGTGGTCCCGTAAGTGGTCAGATGGATTCGTAATGTCAACCAATCGAGAGACAGCATGTGGAAGAGACTTGAACTACACTTAACAATTAACAAGGATTTAATTAAAAATAAATTGGATGAGATACAGAGGTTCTAAAGTTTGGTCGCGGAGAGAGAGAGTTCACATAATGAGCACAAGTTGCATAAATACCTGGTGATAAAAGGTGATGGAGCTCTTGTTGTTAGATAATAGTTCCAGTGGTGATTAGTTCCAATATAATATCCACTAGCACAATGATGGCACAAGGTATCCAAAATGGGCACTGGTCGACGATATTCCTGGAGTAATCGGTGCGGGTTTTTTTTGTGGGAGGGACGAACGACAACTGACTTTTTCTGGCCTCTCTGGCAATATTCACGGGCGATATCGGCCGTCCAGAGGTTAAAAGATTGCGAGAAAGAGTTGTGTTGCCTTCAAGAAAATGTAATAGGAGACTTTCTCAGGTAGCAACAATTGTTATGTAACTCAAACAATATTAATATCAAAGTCTAGTTCGAATATAGGAATTTCTGCTACCTCACATTTTCTTTCTAGTTAAACTCACTGCTACTCTATTTATTTATTTTTGTTTGTTATTTATTTTGTTAGCTGTGAAGATACAATTAGGATTGTTAAACAATGGTAATTGTACTTTTACACATAGACCACTCTTGATAAATCACAAATTAAATTCTTATTAGCAAAGGTTTGGAACCTAGAAATATAGAAAGAAAACAAAGGTAAAAAAAGTAGTAGGTTGGATTTAGCTAAAGACAAAATATCAAATTTATAACTCTTGCAAAATAAAAGAAAACACAAAGTATTTTAATCTGTTAAATTTAATAAGTTATTTTTTGTATATAGTTGAAAAATTAAAGAAGAATGGAACCCAAGTCAGGAAATGCAACATGTTGCAGTTGACCTTAAACTTTTTAGAAAAACAGTTTATTAATTACATATATATCTTTTTCAAGTTTTTTTCTTGTGTATTGACTATTCACAATAAACAACTTTACCTGTTTGCAAAGGCCCTGAGATCTTCATGGTTATGGTTACTGATTTGATTAATTAAAAAGTGTACATATCAACTTTTGACATTTCCTTGTTAGTCTAATTTATGTAGGGTAAAAAGTTTTGAATTGAATTATTTTATTTGAACATGTTTTGATGTATACTAATGCAGGTTTCTTGTTAGATTTTCATCTTTTTGGTGAAATAAAATTATTCAATTTTGTTTGTTTTGCATCTCAAAGATTAATGTTCATTTATAGTTTCCCCTGCCACATAAACATGTAGAGTCTGAAGTACAAAAAGCCTGGAAGATTTACAATTACTCTCAAAGTATTTACATTTACTCCACCTCAATGGGGTAAATGTAAATATGAATTTTTTGGACATTTTTTAAAAAATCTTCTTTACTAATATGCCCAGTAGAGATAATTTCAGATATAATGTGATTAGTATTAGTACAGTGACAAAGCCACTAAAAAAGAAATATCCAGATGTGCTTTCTTAGGTTGCAAAAAATTGTAAACAGTGGAAAATCAATACGAACATTTACAATTATCCCACTCAATTTTATCATTTATTAATTAGCTTATAAAAATAAATAAATTGAAATATAAGTATGTATATACATTTTGTATTAAATGTTAAAAGGAAAGATATATAATGATTAGCAATTTATTATAATTATAATTTTAAAGTTTTGGATAAAAAAATTTTTAACATAATAGTAAAAATAGTACAATTACAATATCAGTAATCCAACATATACGGAACCAGAAGAGTATTGGATTAAGAAGTATGCTATATATTGTTGGAAGTAAGGTGAATTTAATGACACACAAATGTGTTTGATAGCATGGAGTTACTTGTTAATGATGCAGAAAAATAGTTAGACAATTGACCAAAGCAAGCACACTGCTATCATCAATAATCAATGTTGTCAAATTGGTGAATTCTCACCAAATTTAGTGGGAGGTATACAGTACTTTTGATGGGAAATTTTGGGAAACATTTTATTTTTATACACTATTTGTATTATAAGATACTGTACCTTTTTTGAACAGCCTAAGATGACAAGTCTAACAATCTTTAATATTGTGCCCAAGTTTGAGTGTTCAAGCTTAATGTCATGCCATGAGAGGATCAAATTTAGTTGAAACTGTAGTTTGAACCAGTGGGAAGCTTGTCTTTGATTTGGCAACAATGTCAGTAATACCTGAGAGTCAGCAAAATCAACTACTTAAATTAGTGAAATTGTTGAACTAGTGAATGGCTAGATTATGAGATTGTACTATACTAATTTTTAATTTTTCAAATTTTTTCTGTAATTAAACACTTATCAAAGGTCGGTCTTTTGTTTTTTTTAGTTGGACATTTGAATGATTTTAAAACCTCACTTTCTATAGATTTCTAGTTCAGATTTATATTGAAATTTAATTATAATTTTTATGACAATAAATATCTTATGGTATAATTTTGAATTCTGTTAATTTTAGGTTAGTATTTCTTTAAAGTTTTACAAGGAGTTGCAAGAACATGGTGCTGATGAGGTAAGTCATAACATAATTTTTTAAAGTGCCTGTGTGTACATTATTAGCATTATAAAAATTTTTAGACCTTGTAGATTGAATTTATCTATTTACCTTACCTACATTTATATGAACAATTTGGACAAATAGTGGAAAAAATTGAGAATATATAATATAGTTATAATAATAAATTATTATTTATAATTTTAGTTACTCAGGAGAGAATATGGAGCACTTTTGACAGTTCCAGAAGATGGTGAGTACATCATTATCTTTAATTAGTTATCTTAAACTTCTAACAGTTTCATTTTACAATAAATAATTATGTTAGTAATTTAAATACAGTAGAGCATTGATTATCCGACTCAATTGGGGACTCAGGTTGGTCGGATAACTGAAAAAATTGGATAACCGAAAAGAAGGAAAAAAATGCATTATTAGTATAGTATATTAGGATATTAGTATATCCGATGTAATTAGTTTATTAGTATATTGCTATTAACCAACTTTGCGTTGAATTTTCATCGATGTTTAGCCTAACAAATTTTTTTTTAATAATAATTGTTGCTATTGTATCACTAGAAATTATTTTTAAATTATTTTATTGCTCGTGAAACAAACAAACTCATAATTAGAAAATTAAGTCTCATTTAAATATTGGCCTCCCTTCAATGGTCGAGCCATTGATGCCAGCTAAAACACGCAAAAATTTAACAAAAATAATATTAAAGTAGCCAAGACATAGCCAAATATTGTAATGTCACATCACTAGTGGACATTGAAATTTGCCGACTAGAACGGTCGGTTAACCGATGTGACGGTTAATCGGGGGTCGGATAATCGATGCTCTACTGTATTTCATTACATTATATTCATTACAGTTGTCTACTATTTTAGCTATTGCATTTAATATTAGTACTTTATAGTTTATTAATTTAATATTATTTGTATTATTAGCATTTATTTATTATAATTAATTTATATGTGTATGTGCATTATAAAATATTCATATTTTTAAAATATTAGTGAACAAGTTGTTTAGATATGCAGTATCTAAAAGAGTAAATTTTATAATTATGAGGTTTTTGAGTAATAAATTTTGAATAGTTTTTATGAAATATTTTTATATTTAGAATGTAATATTAAAAGTTTCATTTATCAATTTTTAATGTTGTTTTTTTAAACATATTTTTTTATTTTTGATATAACAGAGAAAAATTAACTAATGAATAAAATTAAAGCAGAAATTATAACACTACAATTCAAACACAATAAAGTTGCAAATAAAGTTTCCTCATTGCAAAGATAATGAGATTAGTAATATCATGAAAAGAAGGTATGATAACAGCAAGATACAGATCTTGATGATTTTTACATGTCAAATATATTGACTAAAGAAGTATATTCAGACATGTTATGTTAATTTGTTATGGTAACAGTAGGCTTTATTGTTTGAATGGCTGAAAAATGTTTGAAAACTTCTCTATTATTAAAAGTGTTATCACTCCCATGTTTAATTAACAAATGAGCATGGAATAATTTGTTTGCAGATATGCATTAAAATACCAAAAATTAGAAAACCAAACTCCACCAATTTTTAAAATAAAATTTAAGTTTAATAAGATGAACTAATGTTTTTGGTAATCTTAAATTACTATTGTCAGATTACATTTGAAAATAGAATGTATTGCCAAAATGGAAGCATTTAAATTTTACATTTGTCTTCTCTTGATTGGACAGACTTTATGCAGTGTGGAATTCAGATACTATCAAAATGTATCTTGATTTCAGGATCACTGGCATAGATGGCAAGTCAGTGATGTTCAGGCCCTATTTATAAAATATTGGCAGTCCTTTATGTGGGTGGTGATGTGTTATTTTGTGGCCCACATATATTCTAATGCATATAAACAAACAACCTGATTCATTAGTATAAAGCCAAACCAATTATCATTTAAGATCGGGCTGTTTTCTGGTGATTATAATTTTAATTACCAATTAATTTGTCCTAGAGGGAAATATTAGGTGCTATATCATATATTAAATTTAATAATTATAATTTAGTTAAATAATTTTAGAATATTCTGGAAGAAAAGAATTTGACCAAAGCGAGACTAGACTCAATGTTCACTTGCAGTGCAGATGCATTGCCAATTATGCTATAAAGACCTGCAGTTTGATCTTCTCTTTCAGGTATATTTAACTATGATAAAATCATCATCAGTTACTTACAGTACCAACTGGGGACCCAAGCTGAAGGGTTGGAATTAGCTGGGATGTTGGTGAACTGATGTTAAGTGGTGTTGAGCTGATGCAGCCAAAAGTTGGCAGCCAAGTAGGTGCTGTGTATTGCATTTATAATGACAGAGTTCTAGTGTACGATTTATCAGTCAGACTGAACAAGGAAGCATTCGTGTTCCAGGTTGAACTGGTGACTCTTTCAGAAGCGTCCCAGTGGCTCCTATACCATCTGGGTCTCGAGCCAATCACGATATATTCTGACAGCCAGTTGTCACTTCAGGCCTTGAGCAACAGTTATCACTGAGGTTGATTGGTACTGAAATCAGAAATAAGATACTGAGGGTGAGGCATGTGCAACAAGTTGACCCAAGGTGAGTCCGAGGCCACATTGATCTTAGGCAACAAGCGTGCCAATCACTTGGCCAAGGCAGTGGCCAAAGGCCTATTTGTGACAGAGAAGGTAGAACCTCCAGCAAGCTATATAAAAAGTACTCTACTACAGCGATTGATAACATACTGGCAAGAGCGTTCACCTCTTCTAACTCTGTTTCCTTTACAAAAAGCTCACATTGGCACCAAAGGAAATGAGATTGCCAATGAGCTAGCGAAATCTGTAGCACAGGACAATGACCTACATATTTCCTATGCCAAAATCTCCATAAAACACATTAATAAGATTCTGTTTAAGCATGTTTTTAAAGAGTGGCAACTCAAATGGAATGACAATCATAGTCACCTGACTTACAAATTTATCCCTGCAATAGAAGACTACATCAACAATAACTGGATTAACATTAACCACCATGTCACAGAGTTTTTAACTGGACATGGTAGGTTTTACTCTTACCTTAACCACTTTAATTTACAACAAACAAACCTCTGCTACTTTCGTAACATTCCAGATGGTAACAAACATAATATCTTTCAGTGTATTGGTTTAAAATTAGAAAGACATCAACTGAAAACATGAGTGGAAGAAAATGGGGATACTTGGCATGATGCACATAAATATCTTCTCAAGAAACAAACCTACAATTACTTCAAATATTTGATCATGAAGTACTTCACCATCAGCACAGTTCCTTTCTTGAGCCAGTAGCACTGACTCCTCCTTGGTAACATACTCACTCATATTGCATGCTTACTGTAAACTTCAATTCACATGTTCATATTGTATGTTCATCTCACGCTCATTCTGTAATATGTATCAGTTATTAGTATCTGTTGTGCAACAAAACAAACAAACAATGTATGCTTTATTGGGTATTTTAATGTATGAAATTTATTGTTGTGCTTAAGCTTGTTTACTCAACTTGTGAATTACTATATGCACTTTCTTGGCACAATGCTTATGAAAATGTTTATCAAACACTATTTATATAACCCTCTATTGTATCTTACCACCAGCTATGCTCAGTGGTGCTGGTATTGTATTATTATATTATACAGGCAGAGTATAAGTATTGTATTGTATTGTATTGGCAAGAGCATTGGAATCATAGTACAGTAGGATGACCTATGCCTTTGTGTCTGAAGTTGGTTGAACTCTGATCAGTTGTAATTGGACACTGACCCAGGTCCTTATGGGACATGAGAAGTTTCCGCATTTCAAGTCCAAATTTGGACATGAGATGGTTGCTGCTCTTATGGGTGTCCACACAGTGATGTGAGGCACTATGTACTTGAGTCCCCTTAATGGATGACTTCCATAGAAGGGCTAATCACATCAATTGGAACAAGTCCGAAGACCAAATACAGGTATACCTTGAGTTACATTGTTCTCAATTATACATCGTTTGTCAAAAAAAATATATAGAAAAATAAAAATCAAGTTTAAGTCATTTTATTCTACTTTATGTCTGTCCGCCACAAATATTGAAGTCGTAATACCATTAGAAAAGCGTTAAAGCACATAAAATCATATTAAAATATGTACATTTACAGTAAATGTTAATATAATCATCATAAATCCTAGAGAATGAAACATAAAACATCTGTGACTGTGTTGTCTTATTTAGTGGTCTTTAAGTGCTCAATATTGGTGTTTTCCACAGTAGTTCCAATATCTACTGTTTGGTGTCATTGTCAGTGCCACTCAATATTGGTAAATTTAATATATATTAGTTTATTTTCTACTGTTGCAAGATAATTTTAATAACTGTATTTGTTATTTAACCTTACAAAATCATCTTATTTTATAATGTCTTACAGCAAACCACATTCACAAATAGAGTCTGCAATATACTGTAAACATCATCAAATTGTAAACATGTACAGTACATTTACAAGTATGTACTGTACATACATGATTTTGTAAATTTAGATTACTTTTTTTCTGTACTATATTAAAAACTAAAATTTATTTTTTCTGAATTTTTTAATGGTAGCTGTTTATATGTTTATTAAGTAACGTCTCTTCAATCCAAAAAAAAACTTCTGATAGACTACCTCACAGCCAATTCAGGTTACAAAACTCAGGATAAAATATATTTCTTCCAGATATTTCTTCGGATAAATTGGATACAGAAATCAGCACTGAAGAGGAGCTAGAAAGTTAACCTGGCTCGAAATGCATCTGTTAAAAAGCAATAAAAGGAGTTTTATAACCTGAATTGGCTGTGAGGTAGTCTACCAGAAGTTTTTTTTTCGGATTGAAGAGACGTTACTTAATAAAATTTATTTGTATGTAAGCTTAAAATAAATTCTTATTAACAATATATTGTTAAAAATGCATTTATAAATAAAATACAGAACTGGGAATGGTTTTGTGGTTTAGCCTAGTGACAAGAAAATTCGGAGACAAGTAAATTTGACTTACGTCGTTTTTCGACTTAAGTCGCCTCTCCTGGAACCAATTGCCGACAAAAGGCAAGGAATACCTGTACGTTGGACACTCGCAGCAAGTAAAGGAAACTTAGAGACACTAAAGAAATTGATGGAAATTGTTTTGGGGATCTCTTTGACCTATAGTCCAGTGGATGCACCAGGCAGGGTCCCCCTTATCTAGGGGAGGGGACCTCACTGGCTGACAAAGTGTGAACAATACAAAAATCGACTTACTTAAACCAAATAATCGGAGCGTTTATGTTCTATTATTGCGAAATAATAGAACATAAACACTATGTTATTTGGTTTAAGTAAGTCGATTTTACATTCAACCCGGTGTGTGAGGAAATTAAGTGTGAGCAATACTCTATGGTAGAGCATTCCAGTGCAATACAGGCTGCACACACAACTTTATGTCAAACTAAGAGGGTTGGACTTGAGAGCAAGGAAGGTGAGGTAGGCTTGATCTCCATTTTGACGTATCGCTGGAGCCCATGCCTTGGTCTGACTTTGTATGTTCAGTCACCTTAATACCACCATAGGTGACTGACTGCTAATGATTAAAATACAGTTTCTTGGTACTCTGTAGTGCCATTTGGTGGAGCAGAGGCATCTAACTTAGAGTTGTAAACATGACAGCGGTCTGACTGGGAATGCATCAAGTGCTCTTGTCCTGTAAACTTTCATACAAGATACTCAGTCGGTCATTGCATATCCCAGCATGGATTATATATAGATATAAACAACTCACTAAATGTGATTCATTAGTATAAAGCCAAACCAACTGCTGTATAAGATTGGGCAAACCCAAACTTATCTTCTGGGTTGAAAAGGTTATCTTGGATAATATTAAGAATTTTGTATTTTTAATTTATTATTTCTAATAAAGCATTTTTCTGTTTATTACATTCATTGTACATTACATGCCATTATCCAGTCATAATAAAATTTTATCCAATTACAATTACTTCATTATAGTTCTGACCAACATTGAATGTTTTCAATCAGTTTTTTTACATTTCTTATAATTAAATCATTTTTGTTTAATTTCTTTAAATATCATTATTTGAACTCAAAACTTTGATACACATAAACATCTTTAAGTACACTTGTTATATGGCACACGGGCTGAAAAAGGTTTGCCATCTCTGGTATAGAAAGTCAAATGTCTGTGATATTGATATATGTAAAAAAATTTTCAAAATCATACATTTAATTGTGATTTTATAATAAATATTAATAAACTCCTGACAGGAATTAAATGAGTTATAAAACTTAAAATTTAAAACAACATTACAAATATTATCATATTTGATAAGACAGTCAGTTTATTTTATATAAGTTTTCATAAATCATCATGAGCAGATGATTTATTAAAATATATTAAAGTAAAAGGAAAAATATATAATATAAACTATTCTTAATTTCTTGAATCTCTTTTATCAAAATTGGCAAAGATGTCCTGTGTTGCCTGAGAACTTGAAGAGATTGAGTTGTCCTCATTGGGCTGCAGTTTGAAAAAATTGTAGATGTATAAAAAATTTTCACTGTCATCTGTCTGTCTTGTCCATCTTTAATCTTGAGAATGGAGTTAGTTGAAAGTTGAGACCAAATATGGAATGATGTACAGGGGCAAGCCATTACTAATTTGAAGTGGGGAGCACAGCGCACATTTTAAATTAAATACATTCAAAATATGATAAAAAATTTAGCCTAGCATTGTGGTGATGTCACAATAAATAATTGCTCGTTATAAGATGGTGTATGTTTCCTGCAGGATGACATGCAAAATTTGGTTCAAATCATTCAAAGGGTTTGACAGTTTGTGCAAGATGAAATCAGGGGAAGGAGTAAGGATCTGAGTTTTAAAGTGGCATATATTTTTTGGAGGATTGTAGAGAGTAATTGTGCAAAATTTGTCAAGATCACTGAAAAGGTTTGGGAGTTTCAGAGAAAAGGAGTGAGGGGTTCAAGTTTTAAGTTACTCCATAATGTCAGAATAAATAATGTAATACAGAAACTTCAAATATCATTATTTGAACTCAAAAGAGTCAGAATCTAGAGAGTAACTGTATGAAATTTAGTGAAGTTTGGTCAAAGGATTTGTGAGTTTGTATGGGAGATGGAATCAGCAAGAAGTGAGGGATCTTGAGTTTTAAGGTAGCTTATGTAGTGTACATTAGAAAGTAAAAAGTTTTCTAATGTTGTGAAAGAATTAAAAAATTTGGTTCAGTATATTTTGAGATTACCTTGAAGTAAGAAACAAAAAAATAAACAATCTCACTTTATATATTTATAAGAAGGGTCACTAGGTGGAAAAGGGGGGATTGACCTTGATAGAGCAGACAAATAATGATATGAAACAAATGCTGCAGTAAAAATATCTTTCTTGTACATTTTTATTTTTTAATATTGATATATACTGTTCATTTGTAAGGAATAAGCTTTCGAATAACTAGAAAATTAAGTAATTTGGTATTAGAGATAGATGTTAAGTGCCATCTCTTATCAAAATTAGTAACTATAATGATTTCATATTTATTAAATAATTTAGAACACAGCTATTTTAATAACTTAGCAAAACAATTTTAACAATTGGTTCAGTATATTTTGAGATTACCTCCAACAAACATTCTTGTTTTATATATAAGTACAGATACAGAATAATAATAATAATAAATCAAACACAATAATTTTTCTTATTACATATAATTTAAATTATAAATTTTTTTTTTATTACTCACATATATAGTATTTTAATCACAATGCACACTTTAATTTCAATAAATGTTCCTTTTAAATGACTGAGGAACTATAGAAATAGGTTTTTATAATATATAATCACTTTTCTATTTTGTTAACAATTAATTTATTTAAATAAAATTTATTTTTGGTTATTTTAATTTCAGGATATAATGTTAGTCTGCTGTTTGATTTTGAAAATATTCCTGAAAACTATGAAGAATTGATACAAAAAACAGGAATGTTAAAACGAAATTGTTTTGCTTCAGTATTTGAAAAATATTTTGAATTTCAAGAAAAGGGGGAAGAAGGACATAAGAGAGCTGTTATACATTATAGAGATGATGAAACTTTGTAAGTATTATTGTATTTGGAATAGTTTTATCTTCTAAAATAATTTCTAAATATTATTTGCAAAAACTTCAAATACTTCAAAGAAACAGATTATCTATCACAAAGGACATGTTTTTTTCACACATGGTGTTTGTTTGTTGAACTTGAGTACTCCACTTAGATCTTAAAACTTTCAAAAGTCTCCGTAAAAGGAATTTGTACATGTTGTAGTATGGAATTGTATATTTTATATACAGTGTGATTCAAAAGTCAGAAATTTTTAAAAATTAATAACTCACAATCTATTTACAGTAAGATGATGCAGTTTTCACAGAAATGCTTACAAAGACATCTCTTGTTTGTTAGTTTGTGCATTATTAATTTTTTAAAATTTCTGTGACTTTTGAATCACCCTGTATATTTATTTACTTTTATCTCTGTTGTTAATTTTTACTTTTTACTATACTTTTCACTGATTGTTTTTTACTCAAGTTTTGCAGGGAAGGTGATTTTTTTTTTTTTTGTTCTTTGGAACATTATGTTTTGTAAGAATAAAAAACTTATTCATGCTTATAATCAGTATCTGTTAACAACTATAAATCAGAATAATCTTTTTCTGTAACATATCACATGTCTTGGAAAAAAATTATTTAATAACTTCAATGTTTTTTAAATAATTCAATATGTATGGAACTTGTTTCATGTAGTTGCTTTTTTTGTCATGTATAGATATCATATTATAAAGTATCAAAACATGATTTTTTGACTTTCTGAGACTTTTAATCAGGACCACTAGACTATAAAATATCAAAGATTCAGGCAAATCCACCAGGATCCATTTCTTATACAGTTTGTGCAGGATCCCTTTTAAAGCGATTTAAATATAATGTGAATTAAAATCTTTAGTTTCACATTTTTTTTTCTTTATTTTAATCATGATATTTTTATGTGCTGATTTTCAAATATATTTATTTCTTTTAAGTTTAAAACCACCGAGGTATTTCTCTTTTATAGTATAAAATCAGGTATATTAATAATCTTCATTGTTTAACTTTTCAGATATGTAGAAGCAAAACCAGATAGAGTAACAGTTGTTTTCAGTACTATATTTAAAGATGAAGATGATATTATTATTGGAAAAGTATTTATGCAAGTAAGTATTATTTTTCAAAGTATTTTTAAAACTTTTAACTACTAATATTAATTTTTTATTTTTATTATGAAATTTCAAATTTTCATACATTTCATGGGCTCACAGATGGAACATAAACAAACATTTCTAATTATTTTATTTAAATAGTTATTTAAAGAGAAAAATTTAATAGTTTTATTTTCATTAGGATAGTTTTTATAAGATTCTTAAATTATCCACTGTTTTATAGCTATAAAAGTTCAGTAAATTTAATTATAAGCATTATTTACCATATTTTAATTTAATTTTTAATTATAAGACATCATAATAAACTGCATTTTATACTTCAATTTATAAATCAGTAATTTATTTTTAATGTTTATAATGTTTACTATTCAGCACTTTCAAAAGACATTGTAATTGCTTTTCTTAAATTTATAAATTAGATTTATCTTTTCTACATATTGATTTTTGTCAAAACTAAAAAATCTACATTTTAAAATGTTAAGCTAAATTAAATATTGTTTATAATTTATATTTTAAAGTTAATAGTCATTATTTGTTCTTCAAATTTTTCATAAGAATAAAAACTAAATAAATAAAAATAATTATTTATAACAACATTAATTAGTTTTAAATGATTACTTCATTGTGAAAAATAGAATAAATAAACTTGATTTTGTTATATAGTTATTTATAATAAATTACTTTTATTTAGGAATTTAAAGAAGGCAGAAAAGCAAGTCATACAGCTCCTCAAGTTTTATTTAGTCATAGAGAACCCCCAATGGAATTGCAGAATACTGATGCACGTATTGGAGATAATATTGGATATATAACATTTGGTAAGTTAGATTTATTGTAATCAGGTAAAGAATTGTGTTCATTAGAAGATAAATATAAAACATTAAGATTTATTTAATATAAGAAAAAGTTTTTAGTTTTAATTTTTTTTAATATACCTGTTTTGTAATGTGTATAGTGATTGTCATAGATGTTTTATATTGTTGCTTAAAATATAAACAAATGTCAATAAGAAAACCACAAAAGAAAGCTGAACAGCTGTAATGGAAGTAACAGATTTTTAAACAAATGAGGATAGACAGTTTCAAAGACAAAACAAAGTTTATTTAATAGTTAAAAGAAACCAAACAAATTCTGGACCATGTTTAATGTTCGAATGAAAACAAAAAATCATATCAACATTTAAATTGTCTTTACCTGATTGGTTGAGGGCATTACCTTACAAAGTGTGCCTGGTGGTTTTGGCATTCTTAAAAAGACACTATTGGCAGGTTTGGGTCAATGTACAGCTTCCTCTAAAGACAAATTCTCTGCCAAGAAGTATCATGTCTTCCAGTAAAAGTGGTGGCTTCAACTTTATAGTAACATAGATACTGATGAATATTTTGTCAGAACTGAAGTATCAACATATGAACTTTTCAGAACATCTAGTCTGCATATGTTGACATAAATCTGTAGTAAATCACTTGGTCAATAAAATACCTAGTAATGAAAAGTATTGTAATGTTATTTGCCATATATCTTGAGCCACATCATGCTTTCAAACAAGTATATGCAGATACAGAATAGTTCTGTGATGCAGTCATGCTGGAATGCAACAGTGTCCACAGAAAAGAAATGTACAGTTTAATTACCATCATGCAGTAATAATGTTTAATGGACACAATTTCCTGTTGAGTTGTTATAAGCAAACATCTTAAAGTGCAGAATTTTATTCAGTTATCAATGCTTGGCATTGTTGCAGTCAGGGTCATGACTGAATGTTTCATTTAATCCATTAAAATAGATAAGAAAAACATTGCATTTAATGTTTCCAGATATGGAGAACAATTCTGATAGCAAAAAGGAATATAATGATATCGAAGCTATGAGCTGGATCCGTATTACATTAACAGAATATTTTGAGAGATTGAGGACTATATTTTTATTTATAGATGTCAAAGGCTTCCTTCATATATTTAGTGGTAATGACAGATAAATAAAAGTAAGGACACAAAGTGTGAGGTTCATATAAAAGTTTTTCTAAGAATATTTCCAAGCCTTTCTCACACAAGGAAATTGGTTAGGGAGTGTTAGATATAAACTTATGGAACCAAGAGGACAGTGGCTCCAAAAAAGTTTGAGATTATGGGTTATGGGATGATGATAGACAGGGAGATTAGTGGAGTGTAGGTACTGTATATCAATACAGAATTCAGATAAAAATGCTGAAACTGTATCATCTAGTAGCTGCTGGATTGTTGTCTGCTTGTTGAAGATAACACAATTGTCACACTATTTGTTCCTACAGTCATCTGAGCATGAATATGAATGAGATTGTCAGTCAATGTGTTTGCAGCCAGTCTCATGAATGATGATGATGATGTCCAGTTGAAGATGTAATGCTCTTTAAGCAAATCAGGATCTCTGAAATTAGTTAATTAACTAGCCCAGAGTTGCAGTTCATGATAATACTGAAAAATTTTCAAAGATGGGGTTATTTGGATGTATTTTTTCTTTCTTCTATTTAAAATTAAGTACAGTTTCAGATCTGTGGATGATTAATGATAAAGTACTTTATCATTAATCATCCACAGATCTGAAACTGTTTTTTGGGCTACAATTTTCAAATCTAGTCATCTGTCTATCCATTCTTCCTTAATCTTGAGAATGGAGGTAGAAAGATGAAAATCAAGACCAGCTACAGAAAGCTTGGGCCAGTGGCTCCAAATAATTTTAAAATTAAAATATGATTAAAAATTGCAGCCCAGCATTATGACAATGTTACAATAAATAAGATTCTTTTAAGATTACTTTATTATTATTAAATAATATTTCATAAAATTTGGGGCTTTTGGGATTGAATTACAACAGAAAGGAACCTAATTTATTAGACTTCTAAATCAAATAAAATGATGATGAATGTAATGTTAATGGGATGTGTTGAAGATAAAAATTGTAGAATTAAAAATGATGAGGATTGAAAAGAACTAGACAATAGTAGAAAGACGACAAACTGTCCTTTTTGTTTGGAAGATATGACAGTATAAAGATGTGAGCTATTATGATGTCAATGATGATGGCATTACATTACATTACATTAAAAGAGTAGAGAGGTGTCTGTATATGCACAGACTTTACCTCTAAGAAATTAGAAGTGTTGAAATTGAAATTAGAAGAGGAAGTGATAGTAAGTAGGGAGGAAAGAAAATAGGGAAAGATTGGAGGGAAGTGTCAGATCATTGAGCATCTGCATCAGAATTGTTGAACAAGTAAAATACAGTGACAAGACAAAATATGTTCAGTAAACAGTATAAAAACAAACATGACAAGTTTGTGCATGCAAGTGAATGTGTACAGCAAAGGGGGGGAACAGATACAAAGTTTTAACAATTACAAAGTATGCTGTAAATTGGGTTGACAAAGAGATAAAACATTATAAAATTTAGCATTAATAACATTGAAGAATCTAGTAGATATAAACCCAGTGGGTCTAATTTGCATATGCCAGTACAGTCAAATTGTGGGTTGAACAAATTGGGCAAGTAGCCGGCCTACCTTAAATGATATCAGCCAGTCTATTATTGGTCCAGATGTGGGATGTGGCCATGTCACTATCTCGCTGGCTACTGGAATTCGTGGGCCCGAGTTTTTTTGTATTGCGTATGAAATTCTTCGTTTTCGTCCATAGTTTTTGTTATCGAGAATGTCTGCAGGATTGGGAGGGGTCAGTTGAGTCCTGTTTGGAGACATTCTTGGAAGAGTTCTGCACGTTGTTGGTTGTATTTGTTGCAGCTGAAAAGAAAATGTAGCGCATTGTCTTCACTCTGTCCATCACAATCACAGGTGCTACCAATCTGCTTACCAAAACAGTGCAGGTATGATGCGAAGTTCGCGTGTCCTGTAAGGCACTGGGTCACCTCTGCATCTGGGCTGAAGTATTTGGCTTTTTTAAGATGCACAAGGGAAGGTATAAAGTTGTGAAACATCCTTCCTGTACCAGCGCAGTCCCACTCCTGCCACATATCATTAGCTATGTGTTGTAAGTGATGTTTCAGAGAAATTGCAGGTAACTTCTTGTAGGTGAGTTTTGAAGACAATGTGTAGGCTGACTTGGCCTACTTGTTGGCCAATTCATTACCTTCGTGGCCCTTGTGAGCTGGGATCCAAGTAAACTGTAGGTTACAGTTTCTTCCCAGGTTTTGAGCAGCCTTTATGACTTCAGCAGCTAGAACAGATGATTTCTTTTGGTAGTTTAAAATGTGAAGGGCCACTTTACTGTTCATAAAGATGTTAATGTTACCCTTATAATATGTATGATGATTGTCTATGTGTTGGATTGCCTTGCAAATGGCCCATAGCTCGGCCTGAACAATGGTACAGTAGGCCAACAACTTAAGGTATGCCTGGTATGTCTTGTGACCATTCTTATGGAGGATAACAATACCAGACCCTGTCCCGTGTTTGCTCTTTGAGCCATCAGTACATACATACCAGTTAGTGCAATTGTGCATGGTTTTATCAAAGTTCATGTTTTCTTTGTAATTGTTCATGTTACTTGGGTGTTGTTGGAATTTGTTCTTTGCAGGGATTCTGTCCAAATTAGAGTCTTTGATTTGATTTACAAGATCCAGGAAGCCTTCTGGAAGACCACTGTTAGCAATATAACACTGTATTTTATTATCTGTCTAGTTATTAAAGTCGGTCTTAATGAGGGACCAGTACCAAGCCATGTAGTTTCCTTGGATGTATATGGGAGTTATCCTGGCCATGACGAGGAGGGCATTAGTGGCTGCCATCCTATAGGCTTTACATATTTTAATTGCAAAGCTTCTCTGTAAGGAGAGGAGTTTATGTCGTACATGGGTGTTTTTTAGCGCCTCATACCAAACAGGTATAGCATAGAGAATAGCTGGTTTAATTGCTGCCTTGTAGATAAGGTGGCAGTTGGTTGGGTTTATTCCCCAGTAGTTTCCAGTAGTCCATGTAAGTAGGTTGCTTTTCCATTGATCTTCTGTTGTAGAGTATTAATGTGATGATGCCAATTGAGCCATTCGTCGAAGTATGTTTTAATCGGCCTTGTTTATTTTTCTGTGTGAGTACAAGTGCCGTGCATTTCTCAAAGATGATGGGAAGCTTATGTGTCTTGCTCCATTTATAGATAGTTTTTAGGGATTCATTAGTGACTTCAGTCAGATGGTCACAGTTTTTGTTAGCTACAATGAGGAGGAGATCATCTGCGTATGCCTGGATTGTTACATCATCATTGTGTGGGAAGGAGCACAGAAGATCGTTGAAGGTCAGGTTCCATAGGCCAGGCCCTCACCGAGATCCCTGCGGGCAGCCCCGGTTTATTAACCTCCTAACTGAGAGAGTATTTGTAGCGATTATCGCCTGCCTTTTCGAGAAATAACTTTGAAGAGAAATAACAATGATGATGGCAATAATTCTGATAGCAAAAAGGAATATAATGATACCCAAGCTATGAGCTGGATCCATATTATATTAACAGAATATTTTGAGAGATTGAGGACTACATTTTTATTTATAGATGTCAAAGGCTTCCTTCATATATTTAGTGGTAATGACAGATAAATATTTGTAAATTATAATCAAAGTATTTAAGGAAATAAACAATGTGTGGATGAATGGGTACACCTGGCCTATCAAAAGTCATTTTGTGTAAATGGTATATAGGTGCCAAGATTATTTTTATCCTGTAATTAAAGATAATTTTGTTGTTAAAAAATAAAATTTTACACAAAATATGTGTTGTTTATGTAGTTTACTTAATATATTAGTTCTTGTATTGTATTTTCATGGAATGAGTGGCATGCCGGTT